GATATTTCCAACGTCTAATGTATAGCGTATAAAAATAACGCCCGAATAAGACTTACTGAATTGCGCAGCTGAAAACACTTTCGAGTACGTTGAGTTAACCAACAGAAGCAACTGATGGACATTAACGCGTAGCGCAGATAGCTGCCTTCGGCGGGACGGCAAAGACCTAAGGTCGATGTTGGTCTTTGGACGCGAGTTCGTACATCGCATCTGAAGAAGTCGCATCACTAACTAGGACTGTAACGTATTTATTTACTAGAAAATACTTCTGTCATTGTCGTGTAAGTAATTGAAAGAATTTATTGGAACCTATTCTTTGGCGCTTATCAATCAAATGAAACATAAAAAAGTATGCTAATAATGAACAAGGTTTTCGACGTGAACGTCTTTAGGTAATAAAAACCACTCTAGGCCGCGATACGCCGTAGTGGCTACACGATTCGGTAACAACTTCGTGTATGCATTCAACAACTTATCGACAATGCCTAGTAAATGTACTAGCAAAAAGGTAGACGTACTTCATATACGAAACCTAACAACGGGCCAAAAGCAATTTTAAAAAATGTCTTGCTCAAGCTTTTCTCTAAATTGTCGAAAGGACGAGTGGTCAGTGACAGCCCATGTCGCACCCGAAAACCAACATTTGAAGTGTCGATGGGAAATTTGACGCAGGTGAACTAGATAACGTGAACGTTAGCAGTGTATGTTCCTTACAAGCGTATCACTGCCAATACTTGGGACGCGGCGTGAACCGCGACTAAGTATCAATACATTTGATAGATACCAAGGAAGAAGTCCCAAGTACAACTTAAATTAAAGCCTCCAATTTGAAACCCAGAGGGCATATGTGAATGAGCCATGCACTCTAAAAAATAGTACTAATTATAATGGTAATAATAGTACATAGACAAACGTCTTTGAAAATCAATAAGTACTTATAATACAACATTTGAATTCGGAGAAAGTTTCACGCTAGTACTTTTATTGTCGTCGAAATAGATATTTTCTTACGCGTGTGCTCCAGCTTTGCTGAGCAAGCGATGGAGCCGAGATAAACAGAAATCTGGCTGTCCCTTTATATCTGAGACTGTGTGTTTTCCTGTTTGCTTAGAGACGAGTGCGTTCGAAGCCCGTTAAAAGGGACTATCGCTTAAGTAATCTAAACATCTCAATCTCTATCCGTGACCGCACGAAGCGTGAAATTCCATGGGCATGCACCTCCAATATCTAAGACTGTGTCGAGGAAGAAATGCATTCGGAACTGGTTAGTGAAATCCGGTGAAGTATTTTGCCTTATATGCCACCTGCACACACGAAAACTCATTGACTTCAAGCTCCTTTCAAAAAGCTGTATTTTTGTACGTTCAGCGGATCACAGTCGACGCCCCTAGTTTAGAAAAAAAAAACAGTATGCTTTTAGTTTTCTCTTTTTGACTGTAAGCTCTATATCACCCTTAACAAATAGTTCCTAGTCTGGCGCACCATGCACTCGCATATCGCATACAAAGATGTGGACTGGGTAGGTACAGATTTTGCCTGTTTTCTATTCGTTTCTGTTTTTCGATTATAATCATTGAGCGTAAGCTGCGACGAGTACTTGATGAAATGAAGAATTCTGTATTACACGTTTTGCGTATGGTTGTGCAGAGTCCCAGTATAAGAGACCCATCCCAACCATTAGTAGAGCTACTACGTCCAATTGTGTGTGCTACATTGAACGGTGAGCGTGTCTTGCGCCTGCATACCTTAGACGTAGGCCGGAGGCGGGCTTTTGTTTGTCAGCTAGAGTGAAGAATAATTCTCACCTCAATTGCTATAAGTAGGTTTCGTTTCTTAAGGTACCTTACTGCGTAAGCGGCTAGTTAAAATAATAGTTTTCTTTGGAACACGTTATATGGAAATAAAACTAAAATATCTACTTCTGATAAATCTGTTCCAGTTAGGAGTCTTGCATTGCATCGTATTAGAACGTTCTTGTGGAATTGATGAGACATCATTAAAAATGTCTAAACAGGTATTCGCGGAAGCTCTAGTACCATTCAATAAAAACCTCCTTAGCTATTAGAATCCTTATTATGAAAGCGATCTTTACAAATTCTGTGTTCTCCGATTTACAAATCGTATTATTGAATTGTAAGCATCAATTTAACAGAGGCCGAAGTTGCAATGAAGAACCGATTGACCACGAGAGATATCATGGACACATCGCGAAACATCGATTTGTATTATGTCTTTGTGGAAAGAAAAGAATTAGTGATAATCAATCGCTATTGTTTCAGTAACCGTAACGTGTCGGTCACTCTGATAATAGATAAACCATAGGGCGAACGTTATTCGTTCGAGTAAACTGTTGGACCAAATCTGTTTGGTTATCCCTCATACAGATTTCGAGCTTAGAAACAGCTCAACTCAAGCAATATCGTGCGAAGGAACACCGAAATGTAAATGGTTCATGGGGAAGCACGTTATAAAGCATGCATGTGTGTCTGCACGTACCATACGTGTAAGTGCTAACCGAAAGCTTTAACCGTTTGTGAAAACAGATTCAACAAACAACTTTCCCGAGGGCAATGTAGAACCTATCCCAAAATCGTAACGGTATTGTTTTTTCGAATCACTCCGGCAAATTCATTTTGCCTTCATTCGGTTGCACATATTAAGAAGATCGGGAACCGTTCTTCACAGCGCGTTTGCTGCAGAACATTTCTGTGCTCTCGACTTTAACAGAAAACGCTTATTCTAGAAGATCAGTGTACATGCTTCGCTTTTGCGACGTTGGCTATCAAATACGTACAGCTGCTGTGATAATAAACTTGTTCTGCACTTTGTTAGCTCTTTGTAGTCTATGGCAAGACCGCCCGATGCGATTCGCCCACACCTGCTATTCACGACAAACTTTGCCTAGCAGATTCAATTTGCTTGCCTCGCATGATTATAGTGCAGGGCTTATATTTCGATAGCTCTCATAAACGTCCTGACTGAGTATTGATATACTTAACTTTAACACTTTAAAAAAAAGAACACACTAAAAAAAACTTTATAGAATTTGTTAATCTTATTTAATGTATGCTAACACGATTAGTTTTCAGAAGAATCAACAATCTCATTAACGTTACTTCGTATTAGTGTATATTGCTCATATGATTCAATGAATATCTGCTTACTTCCATTCCATTATTCCAAGGTTTGTTTTATCGAATGTAAAAATTTATGATAGCACGTGCATTCAGATCGTGCATAAATCCGAAGGTAAACACTTCCGGCGACTTACGCTTTGTAAAATCAAGGAACTACACGATTGGGTTTTAATTTTAAGGTAAAATAAAGCACACTTTAAGTTGAATTTAAAGTTAAGGACACTAAGCAAAGTAGATGAGGTAAGTTTTTCAACAAAAACACGTAGTCTTTTCTTTGAAGGAATCTAGGGGCTAAATTTGCGTAGTTTGTATTTCCAGTGAAGCACTTAAAGTGAAAAATTTCATACTCATTGACCCTATGCTAGAGTATCAATGAAGGATCGAACGTCATTACTCGTATACTTTGATCAGAGGCGTTCACGTTTGTCTGGGGTATATATAGCACTATTCCATTACGAGTACTGCCAAAGGCAGTCCGACTGCTAATAAATTCTTTCAATTCTGACCACTATACTGTGGCTGATTAGTTTACAAGGACTGCAAGACAACCCCACATGGAAGTTACCGTCCGAAAAAGCCTTTTTATTGAACTCTATTCTTCTAAAAATTTCTAGACACGAATTAATTCTAGCCAAAACGTTGCCGGAAGAGCTTGTTTCACAACCGGACGTACTGCACAGGGAATATGTATCACCGGCGTCTGGCAAGTCAACCCGTTCGCGATATCTTGTAAACGCAGTTCAACTCAGGCTGAGACGTTGGTGCGGAGGCTGCTTTTACAGCCACACCAATCAAAGAGATTTCCGATCAAAGTAAAAGACTTCTACCTTCTAGAAAAAATATGGAATACAGTGTTTTTTTTCGTTAGTTCAAAGGCTAAAAAGTATTATCGTTTCCGATTATAATTCTGCGAACGATCTACAATCGCGCGATTCATTTGTGAGCGTACTATCGGTTCCATTTACTGTTGCTGAACGAGCGCATTCAATTAACGATTTCCGCTCGGGTTTAACAGGGTGGCGTTGAATTTGACCAGGCTACAGACGACCATGTGCTAACTTTATCACTATGACAATAGCTAAAACGTTCAAATACCTAGACTATTTAAATCTGCATTGACGTGGTCCCGCTACTATTGCACGGAATGAAACTAACGATTAGAGTACAACAGCCTCGGAACTGGACGCGATAAATCGCGTTCGTCTTGCAAGTTTTTGCACGTAGCTCTGTAGGCACGTTATTGGGTAGCTGTGAATGTGTTATACTAGCGAAACCTAATTGAGCATCGAAAATGATTGTACGTATTAATGGACGTTCTCTTTCGGCCTATAGAGGATGTCGGCTATGTGCAACCCCTACAAATTGAGTCCGACGGCTAATTTTTTACGTACTTTCTTGAAAAAGTGCGTACTCATTGATCCCTGAAAACTTCTTCGACACCTATCTACTACGCTAGAATGGATGCAGCATCCCATTGAGAATCGATAATCGTTTAAGGTTATTGATAAAAAAAAAAACAAAAAAAAAAAATGTCGTTGCTAACTGCGCTTGTGCAAGGCAAGGACCCCACCAACAAGAATGCCTTCTACTGTATTGACGCCCTTTAAAACAATATATCTTGTAGTGGATTCGATAGCTTTTGTTCAGCGCAAGGAGTAAGGCAGAATATTTTCGAAAGGACCAACTAAATCCGTAAATTAACATTATGATTAAGTGTTACACAATTAAATGCTAAAAGAACAGTTGGTACAGCTGGTATTTTGTGATTGCAATCCTTCAAACGCTCTGAAGCTGATTTAAGCACAGATACTGGTCCCGTTGCAAAAACAATTTATCGTCGCGCGTTTTTGACAGCGTCAATATGGCGCAACTAGAAACAAACAACGAAGCAAAAAAACTAGATTTATATCGGGTTATGCCACAACGTCTTCTAGAGCGAATATAGATACAAGTATCAAATTCAACTTTTGGGATGGATTCATTTGTGGTCGGCTCATCAGCGTAAGTACAAAACTACTATTACACATATGTTTTGTTAGGCCTCTGAAATCAGCGGTAGCGATGTTGTTCTCCTGACTTTGAACAGAAAAACAAGCATTAAAAAAAAGGTGCAGTTTTCTAGGGACTGAAGGGCTGTCTCACATCGAGGATTTCCGTAGGCTAAGTAGCATTCAGTTGTGCTTCAAATATTGAAGGAACCCCATATGAAGTCAGCCAGATCCATCCCTCACGATTTGATCAGTTTACTTTCATTACACTCGTAATTCGCCATTTAAAAGATTAAGAAGAAACGGTATTTGCGGTTTCCATTTTGGCTCACATAGGATATATATAAGTCCTTGAAAACTATACTGAAACATTCCTAAATAAAAAGGTTGCATAAATACATGAAAAAGACAATGTATATCTCACTTAAATCAGGGCCTTTCTTTCATTTCACACAGACAGAACTTGTATGCTAACAAGTGTGGTGATCACGTATACTATACCATGTATATATCCATATTGAACGTGTCGGCGGATTCCATATCCGAATTATGTTTGACCATTAGTCTACTATATAGGTTTACTATAATAGGAATATACCTATATATATATATATATTCATATTAGGTGTAAACTGCTGTTTACTATGATTTTTTTTAAAAGATTCCGAAAAGACATTGAGAAGTGTTGTGTGTGAGCTAGTTAATAGACCGCCGAGCCAAACAAGTGTCTTGCACAGGTAACATCGTATTTAATCTTACGAAATTAATAGACAGACAAATTGTATAGTGTTAGTTTAAGCACTGATGAGTTCGCATGCACACAATACCTGAAAGCACTGAAAGATACACAGACGTCTGCCATGATGTCTGAGTATATTACAGACTGAGCCTAACTGCGAAAGGAGACCTTGTGGGAAAGACAGACCTTTATTTAGAAAATGGCCATCCCCATATCGTCTGCAATAAAGATTGTTTTTCTTTCGTTCAATGATTGATTGTCGGATAATGTTGTTTCTTTATTCCGACCCCCTGCTCCTAGTCTTTGAGTATTCGTTATGGCCCAAGTTCTTAATTCTATGGCACAATATAACCGTGATAGTAGCAACATGATTTAGAAGCAATGACAAAGGGTTACTTTCATTATTTTCCTATTAACAAGATCATACAAACCTATCCGCCGTAAATTGGCCGCAAGGTCTTAATTGCATTAATATTTGTTCGGTAATTCAGAACCGGTATTTTAGCTTTGTTCTATGAAATGTTATATTGCTTCGCACCGTTAATTGTGACTGAACTGTTTACGAGATATTCTCATTGGTAGTTTCAGCAGTTTTTTACTCATTTTTTTTCCTCCTTTTTTTCAACGCCCGTTTACCATACGCAGTTCACTGAAAAAAATTTGCTAGATTTTGGGCTAGAGAAATTCGAAAGAAGCAATTGTAAAAGTGGTTGGCTATGTGTGACCAGTGATGGGTTCAAAGGCCAAACGTTATATTGGTATTTCGTTATTTCAGAAGAAGAATATCCCCGACCAACTTGCATCCTACGTCTCTAACTCTTTGTGATTTTTTTGGGTTCTTTCATAGAACTCGTCGATGCGCCTTGTGCTAACGTAGACAACTCTGCTTAGAAACTGGTTGAAACGAAGCACTGTGATTCCCCCCCATATCAGCGTGGCTTTCCAAGCAAATGATGGTACACTACGTAAACAGAGACGAGAGCGGACGAGTAGTTAGAAATTATATTGCTTAATTACTTTTTCAGAGCGCAATGACCTGTTTCAGAATTAAACAAAAGTCAAAACATTTTTTCGTATATATATAGTATATGAAACACTGAAATTCGGTTAGTTTTTGTCAGACTGTTTGTCATAGCAAGCATCCGCAAATTTCCTATTTTTAGCTATAGGAGGAAGCCAGTTCTTCTTAGAACCAGATCGGAAACTCATCGTGGCTGGTAATAGTGCTTTTTTTACGATTTTAAGAGAAACTATTATGCGACTTCACCAAAATGAAGGACTACCTGTCTTGCTGGAAATCAACAGCGTATGTTATTGTCGAGTTTCTTGCGGCTTGCGGATAATTTGAGAAAGATTCGAATGAGGCAAACCTGAAGATCTTCAATACCATTTGAATTTAAAGAACCTAACGAATCCATCGAAGTGGCCGAAAAACAATTTATATTCCTAAAGCTTTTCTATCGAAATGAAAGGTCACACTGAAGGCCTAAGTACAAATTGTAAATTGGGTCACCCGGGTATGCTCTAACGGGTAGCGTTTTATGAGTCCTTTCGCACCCTTTTGCATTTTTTGCCTATTATCGGTCCAAACTTTAGTTGAATGAATTTCTACTTTAAAACTTAATGAATTTGAGCGATACTTACATCCATCAAGATCGCGTGCTTATCATTAAAAAGTTCAAGAAAGGGGTACTTTGAAAATACTAGTAAGCGGTTTAAATCCCGAATTGAAGCTCTAATTTCGGTGCATGGTAACTATAATCAATGAACAGGATCATGAGGAATGACACGTCTAGCACATGGAAAACATCCATCAAAATACATGTTTTTATCTAAAAAAAGTCCTGATCTAGATACACTACTGTATGTATGGAGTATAGAGGGTGCTCCAAGAAATGCATAGGCAGTATATCATAACTTCAACTTTTACTATCATTTTATTATTACCATAAATCACTTTTTTCCTACTGCGGATGTCGAAAATTATTACCGTTCTGGACGATACTGTTGATAATGGTGGGCTATTGATTTGCGACCCTACAAGGTGTTATATCATCCAAGTCAGTATTTTTAAATTGGCCACGTAATTGACGTTTGATCTGGGCAATACACAGGATATTTTATGGGATGTCGTCGTCCAAACCCATCTGTTTACCAGAATACAGTTTTACGTCAGTATCGTGACGTGACCTCTCAAATGCCAGAAACAGATTCTTGCGATACATTCAAGTAATTGATACCAGTCAAAAAATAATGGGGTAATATAATTATAACGTACACATTATACGTATATATAACGTAATTAAAAAAAAATTCGTAACAGGCAATCGATGTGTCAATTTTTTTCGAGCGGTGTTTTCAGTCTATATGTCCTAAACAGCAAATTACGCAGTGTCCTTACACGGAAACTATCGAATTTTTACTATACCATTCGAAATGGCTTGAGTAATAAAAAATCAATTTTCCTGTTCCTTGAACACTATTACTCAACCAACGCTAGATTTATCATCATTTTGTATTTGGGCTGGGCCCTTATAGAACGTCTATAACGTGAATGGTCGTTGTTACTTCGCATTCTATTATTCAAACTATGTTTTTGCGTCCTATTTTCGAACAGAGCTTACATAAACACACACACACACACACACTTGTTCATTCTAATTCCATGCAGCGCACTATCTGCGTATTAAAATAGATATAACGATAGTAATCAACGCTCTATAAATGCTCTGAAATCATCATAGACAAAAAGTTGGCATTATCCTAAGGTCGTGTAGTTGGTGGAAACTTCGACGACTGGCCTATCGGCTCTCGGCGAGACTCAATCAATTTGCGAGTAGAAGGCTTCGCTACGGAGTACCTGCTTCAGAAACTAAATACTCATTTTACCACCGACGCTTTCCGCATGCGTGGCATTTCAACACGGGCTCATAAAAGCCTTATTGAAATTTAGCTATTAAAATTCGCTTTTAATTACGTTCATTACAACATACAAACACACACACACGCAGGCCCATACTTTTTTGCACTCATCAGGGTTGTTGTTACTAGTATATAGATGGGCAGCACGCTACTAGACACCGGAGTGTTCAATAGACGCTTTGCAGAATACGCGAAGCAACAGAAGTGGCGCGTTGAAACTAACAGACAGCCAATAGTGCACGAAAGGGGTAACATGGTTGATTGCTGATTGGATTAGATCAATCACTTCAATTTGTTTGTTTGCTGATTCGTTCGTTAAGCGTACATCATGCAGCGCACGCGCATGTGTTGAACCCGAGAAGAAGGGCAGCAAAACGATTTACAGGCAGTTTGGCTTCGGTAGATTAACAAAAGCCATATTGTTCGTGTGTGCTATTGCTGCCTCATATGCATACGTCTGTACCTAGTCTAGCTCATCGCTGACAGAGCTGTCTGCTGAGCGAAGCTTTGATTGGATGATACGCTTACTGTGTACGGGAACGTGTTTCGGCAAGGTCAGCCGATGGACGTTTGCAAAGTGTTAATGGAACAAATCGTCATTGTAAAGGAAGTTGAAGGTTAGGTTGAATGCTACCCATATGAAAAGGTAAGCATTGTGTTACAAGCACTATTTATGCACTATGAACTTTGGTTTATTCAAAGGAAAGCAATTACCGCAGTCGAGATATCTGCTGCCTAAAATCTACTATCAGAGTGGTTGCAGTGCTACAAAAGAGCCCTTTGGAGTTCAATACCGTGTAAGTCTATCCAAAAAAAATCCTATAAATACTAATATATTCTAGTCGTTCAAACAACTGAAAACCAGCTCGAAAGTCTTAGGGTACCCAGAGCCTGAGACACGTACTTATCCTTATCGATTTGGTCCCGAGAAACCGACAACGCCACCTTGTAATCTGATGATTCTCACAAGGACCGGAAACACGAATCTCATTATTCGTTTATTATAGCAAGTTGACAGAAGACCCATCGACAATCGATTTAGAGGGCGCTCTTTCCAACGAAACACTCGTTAAGAAGTTTTTTTTCATGTAATTTCAAGTTAAATACACATTCTAACGAATAACAGAATGTATCGTATTGTAAAAATTCCCTGTACGAAACATACCGTTTCGCTAGCTCTGTATATTCAAAATAGTGTCTTAACGATTACTTACGTTCATACGTAGATAAGTTGAGGACAGATAGTTCTGAAAGTTATAGTCAAATTAGTATTTTTAAATAATAGCTATAGAAAAGAGATCATCAAGGTATTTTCATAGACGTTAAGAGGACTCTTCTGAAGTGTAGTTCTGACATATCGTGGGGTCGTCCACAGTCGAAAAAGATCAAATCTGAAGCACGCTACGGATGGATTGGAAGAAGAGTGCGCAGACGAGCTTTACAAATGGGTCCCTCTCTATTTGATCGTAAAATTTCATATGAAATGTAACATTTCTAGTTCATTCAGTTAACGAGTGAATTTACTGTGGGCGAAATGGACTATATAGTAATAGCAAAATTAGTCTTAAGTAATGTTTTTACGCATGAGATGGTTTCAGGTGGAATATAAAACCCTTACTCGGTATATTAAATGTGTTGTCCATCTGAAGTTAGGAATTGACTTTAAGTTAAAATGTATTATTTATGGAAAGTGTCAACCTTGTCGGTACTTTATTGGTAGAAAGCGATGTAGAGAACGGCACCAATCTGTATGGACCCTATGACTGCAACAAACATTTTTCCAAGTTCAAATACCCTATGTTATGTTGTACGGAAGAAATGGTCAAATAATGGTAAAATTAGAGTTTTGAAAAAAATACGAGTAGTTAAATATAAAGGAATCGGGCAAAGGTTTTAGGGAAACCTTTGCCTGATTCCTTCGCGCGGTGTTCTTTACCTAATAAAAGGGAAATACACGACGACGTCGATCATTATAGCTATATACATAAACGCCGAAAAGTTCAAAGGCCCATGACTTGCTCACTAACCTTCTTGCATGCTCAATTAGGTTCGGTACGCCGCTAAAGCAGAGCTTTTGCTTAATCTACTCGTACGTGTCAAAACCATTTCAAAATCTGCATAGATCCTATCATGAATACAAGCAAAGCGATGAAAAGCATTAGAAAGTTTATCTTGACTGGTCTGACGTGAGACAGTTATCATTAAACACAATATCGGTTTATTGAAAACATCTATATTTAACGGGCTGTAGGTAAGGAATAGTACTTTCGACAGTACAATTCATGCTGCTGCCTCTGGGCTGGCATTTAAAGTGAAATTTTTTTGGTATATGACGGGTAAAATATTCCGACAGTGGGTTATGATCAACAAATCCTCAATGGACTAAACAAAAAAATTTGATTATTAGATAAATACCATATATGAATGATCGTGGGATGTTCCTAACGTTTTGTCAAATCAGTACAAGCTTATTGGACAACTGGCATTTTAAACCCGACAGTGCGTATCTACTAATTAGTCTTCGAGTAGCTTTTTGTGGGGAGAAGCGTCAGTCGGATTTACTACCCGGTGAAAACAAAATCTGTGTTTTATCTTCAGGTGTACAACCCTTGATTGAAAAGCTTTCGATAGCTACGGAAACATTGGATTCGGGTATTTAGACGCGTTGGCGTTGGCTTATCAGATTCAAGTCGATGGTTTCCCGTTAGCAAATCCGAGCTCCGAATGCCCCATCAAGATGCGATGTAACTGAGGTGAACAAATTTATTATTATTATTATTACAAACAGCTGTCGCTGAATTTCCGCAGGACGCCAGCGCGGTCGAGAGTCATCAGTATTCAACAAACATGCAGCTGTTGTCAATTAATCCATATTTCCGGTAGGTTTAAAAGTTACTTCGTGTGCTTGAGAGAGTAGTGTGATGTTTTTAACAAATTTTTATTATTAATTAATCCTACCAATGAAATGTGCAAATTGATATCGTATCTAAAGTTCCTAAAGCCGGTTTTTTGGGGTTCTCTATGACTGTCATCGGAGACAATTTTATATGGCAGTATGTGCTTTGTCTATAGCGCCTGTTTTTCTCTTTTGTTGAAAAACTAAATGTGAACGAAAAACACTTACCAGTTGACAAAACACTGCTTGAACAAGTTGATTGATTGCAGCTTTGGAACATAGCGGGTAGGTAGGTAGGTAGGTAGATACGAAACCATACTTGACCTTCAACTAGAGGCGACTCAGGTCGAACGCACCTTCCTTCTTAACTTAAATTTTATAAATCACAGTATTTCTGACCGTTTCCACCGTTATAAAATTGAGCAGGAAAACTGTGTTTTATGCAACTTGCGAGACGTAACTGCCCAGTCGGTACTCAATATGCTTGAATTGTCGCACCTATATACATTTTTATCTATGGTATTCGGTGTTACTTTTGACTAGGGCTCGATTTCTGTTAGTGCTCTTTCGACGTCCGATCACTTCTCACGTCTGAACTCATTACGGCGGTACGCTTAGCTAGGTCTGCCTCAATTTCTCGAGTGGGCATTACGTAAATCTAATTGGCTTTTTAGGGTCAAGCCTCAGATAGCTCGTGCAGTGTCGGCCGTGACGGACGATATACGAAGGCCGAATAACGAATTTCAGGCACCCGTGCCTTAGAAAATGTAAAACCCTTCGTTGAAGTCGTTACGTGTTTTCTTTACGTAAAAAAGCCCCAATACCGTGTTTCGACGTTCCAGTTAGAATGAAATTAGGCTACCAGTAACATGAATATAATCTACGATTGCAGTTGGGCGAGGAAGCGCACTTCTAAGGCAAATATTTCCGTCATCAGGTCCTGTTATGTGTTTTTTGCCTTAAACAATCTGCTGTATGTTCAGTAACATTTACCCATGAGTCGGAACGTTTACAATGAATTCTCTATTATCCGCACCTAACGTCAAACAGTTTACCAGTAAGTATTTGCCAACCTGCTTATTGAAAGAGCTGACTACATGTTACGTGGTTTTTTTTTCAGTTTGTCACGCAAAAAGATAAGTTCACTGAGCTTTTATACATGCACAAATTGCTGATAAATCTGTAACGTATCCGTAATGCTACGATATATGATAACCGATCGAAGTAAGATTTTTAAATCTCGGCATAAGCGCTTATTTTCATTGTGGAAAACAGGCCAAAGGCTACCTTATTCGAGAGGACTCTGGAGTTCAAAGGACAAATGTTATTTTCTTATTACTTAGGTTTTCAGCTATTTAATGTGTTTCAGTATCGTTAATAAATGCTTGATCATAATTATTTCGAAGTGAATCCCCGGTCACGATTTCGTTCAATATATGTTTGTATGACTGACACCTTCGGCTATTTTAAAGTGGTTTAACTCTCTTTGTAAAATGATTTTCATTCCAGAAAATTTTCAGATGGTACTTATTTTGAAGACGTTAAATGTTTTTGAAATCGTTCGACTACACCCGAAAACAGCTTCTGAAAATTGTTGTAACGTTATTTCAATTTCGAGCAATGGTCGAATAGGAAAAGGAAAATGAAAATAGAGTTCGAAGCATCTAGGTTTTTAAGCTGGGCATTTTTCTATGCACTTTTATTGGGTTTGGTTAAGCATATCCAATCCTCTCGATCACGATTGTAACGGAAGTCTCGTGATGAATACATCTGAGATAATGACGGTCGAACATAAACTGGATATATATCAAGAAAATCTGAGATAAACTGAAAAAATGTCACTTCTTATCATTTTTAACCTTTTTCTCTCTCTCTCTCTCTCTCTCTGTGTGGAGGTGGCGCAATTGTGAATGGCTTACTACATTTTATTTATTTATATTTATTTTAGCAATATTTAACTGTCGGGTATTTACATTTAGGTAAGAGCAAATATGGGGTTGTAACTTTGGTTGGTTGGCTGTTATAAAGTTGACGTACACACAGTGGTCTGGCTTCAAATCCGGCCGTAGACACATCTTGTCTAGCGCTGAAAGCCAGCCTTCTGATGACAAACCTATCCAAACCTAAACCGAAACATTTCGTATTGGACAAGAGAGAGTAAGCGGTATAAAGATCTTAGGCCTTGTGCATGCTTGCCATTAGTTGGCACTTCAGAGCTTCCACCTAAATTATAGCGTTTTCCAGTGTAATAGTTCTACACATATCCACTACAATACAATGAAGCCTGAGTCAGATTATAGTGGCAATTTATTCAAATATAGAGTGATACTATCAAGTTTTCTTTCTTGGCGTAACGTAAATGAAAGGAATGAGCAGAGAGATTATAAAAAAAAAAAAAAAAAAAAAAAGAAAAGATCTTTTAGGAGATACGGTGCGATTATAGTACCAGGAAACAGATAACTCGCTTAGGGAGAAGACAGGCGATTTATTGCTCGCCTGAGTACCTTATTTAAAATCTATTGTCCTTTCGCATTAAACTTAAAGGGCTTAGTAAAGATTTAGGCAAACAACTTGTTATTACCCAGGAAATTTAAGACTCCATATACATAAACCTAGTTAGGTTTTGGAAGGGGCCTGGTGTTTAGAATTTACTAGATTATGCAGAAAAGTAGTAGCCGATAGTACCAGCAATTTTACGTAAATAACGGCTATGTTATTTAGTTAAGATATGATTTGGTTTCGCATATCACTGCACAGCCCAAACATCCCAACCGTAGATTGCGTTGATCAGTGCTATAGAGTAGAAGCGTTGTAATATTGATAATATAAAATAATGGTAAGGATGCGCCCACCAAGTTTCAAATACTACACAGTTTACACACTACGCCCCACTGGAGCCGGACGCCATTATGCGACTAAAAAAAATTGTTACCGATGATGAAACCGTGAAGACTTCTATGATCGGTTGTTTGAACTAGAGACGCACCTTTTCATCGATATTATGCCTGCACTAGACTTATGACGAATGAAATAAAACCTTCAATGGGTAATCTGTTTTCTATGGATGCGTCTCGAAATTATGCGAGCAAGATCTACGACAGTCAACATTTTGGTCTATTTCAAAGGCGGGAAAGTTTGTTGGCTTACCGGTAACGGCTGGGAAACTGTCAGGCTTGATCAACAGCCTTATCGTAATGGCGAATCTAGACCGACTGAAGGCGCCTGAAGCAAGTTTACTGAATTATCCATCCAAGTCAATCAAACATAGTAGCCCTATACGAAATGGGGCGAAGTTATGGTGCCTGTTTGAATGCAGCGTTCTGCTACAATGGTAAAATAATTAGAAACAAAACGTAAGCGGCCTATTCAAGTGGAGTTGAATACGGTCTGTCGCTATCTATGTCAAGTAGATCTGGACTGAAAATAAAGGGAAAACATCTATAGTAATCTAGATTTTCCTGGGAGTCCTGGAAGAGCATATTTATTCGTGCAAGAAACGCCAGCGCACTCGATAGCTCCCATTCGTTACGCCATACTATACGGTGGCACTGTGGAAATAGGACTTCCGAAGGTAGTTTTGTGTAAAACCTAAAGTTTCTTTTTAAATTTAATTTAAACAATAAATTGAATAACTAAGTTATAATAGTAAAATAAATTATTACATTTAATAACTTCTGGCTCAGCGGCATTGGTTTGAATTACATAGTTGTCATTTTATATTTTTCGTTGGACGTTCAACGAAAAGTAAAACTTAGCATGGTACACCAGTTTTAATGGCTTGTTTTTGATTTTGTATCATGGGCTAGGATAAATATGTTCGATTTAAATGCGTTCGACTCTCCTATATAATATTGCAAGATAATTAATGATTATCTGTTTTATGCTATTTATTATAATCATTACTCTATTACTACGTAGAAATAATGCAGGCAATGGAAACGTATAATTTGACAAACGATAATTTTATTTTCCGTACTTACTGCCTTTTTGCTTGTTTATCTAATGGTAGAACATCGCTGTCATCGTTGTTAAGATCGTTGTCGTGAATACGTGTTTATACATTTCGGTATTACGTTTATTCATGTTGATCTGGTATGTGCATGTTAACATGTCCGCCAAAATCAACGTCGTTTCGATCATTCGTGGATATTTTCATTTATGTGAAGTACAGATGACGTGATGGTGACGATGGTCAAGGACTGTACCTGATTTGATTTGGCCCGCCGGTCGCCCGCGCGGTTCTGTGTATACAGGTTCAACATTATTAATACACAGGGCCTTCGGAAAATCAAATGCCAAATTTAGCACCGAATTTTTACTCTCTCACTTAAGAACTAGCATATACTATAGACGATCCGTAATATTGAACAAAATAGTAAACTATATGGGTCGCTTACTGATAGGTAAACTGCACACCGCTCTTAGAATTGTAGGGTTGTTAACTTAGCGTAGTTATTGCTCACTGTACCACAGTAGAAGCAACGGAAATTAAATTCATAGATAGCCCATTATAGCGCAGAGTTAGTAGTAGAACTTTTTCTCATTGTTAGCCACCAGTTTCCCTTGTCCAAGTTCATTTCTAACTAAAACTGACTGTCTGGATCATAGTACAATAATGTGCTTTAATGATATATGCACTTTTCAATGAAAAAAAATAACTCGCGTGAGCTGTATGTAGATATAATAATATAAGGCAACGTATTCCCTTACGCCTACAATAAGCCGACGTATATGTACATATCCTGTAAGAGAGCTCCCAGCGAATGAAACTAACTTTAGGTGAGTCTTTTCTGGGTTCGTACTCCCCCGCACAGCGCGTTAATAACATTTTTTGTCTATTGTTCAACTTTACCTTTTACTCTCTCTGTGTGAACAAGCCCTCGGGAGTGCCTCTTTTTAGGCACAGCATCAAGGAGTTGCCACTAGGAACCTAACTGGGATGAGTCTTGCTGGACTTACTTGAGGTTTCCCCAACAGACCTATGAAACAGCCGGCAACCATACAAGCAAGCATTAATCTTAGTAACAAATTTTAATTTCTTATTTTTCTTTCTACCATTTCCGGTAACAACGTCTGCTGACGCAGAGGGAGTTATGCTTAATATGGTAACGCTCTCGAAGAGATGCACATTAGCCGCACAAAGTACGGCAACAGATAACGATATTATAATTAGACCAATAAAAAAAGCTACTAAACGATTAGTTAGTCGTATGCAATACTCCTGGTGATAGTTGGCGGCGTGTTTCGTAGTCTGGCTGCTGGCGGTTTAGCCATAGCGATAAAAATAATTGGCGTTTCCTGAAACATCATGAGAGCAATCCCGTTTCTGAAAATGTGAGACTAGCCAGGGGTATTGCAACACGCTACCCTGCTTAACACAAATCGTTAAAAATCATTTGAACTTTACCGTAAATACCTTGAATCTAGGTTAGGTTAGGTTAGGTTAGATCAGGTATTGCATCAAGAGAGGCCTTTGCTGTGACAATAGCGTTCGACAAGAACGTTAACACTGATAACTGCGGTCATTACATATGATCCGTAGAAGTTGTATAACATACCATATAAAACACGTATGCTAAAAGTTTTTTCGTGATGAGTTGTTCGTATCAGGATGTCTCAACACAAATTATCTCGATGTAATATTGTATTATCATTTCATCAATTACGTTGATAATTAAAAATTGAAGTACGCATTGACATTAGCGGCCCCATTCAGATGTTACTGGTTTAATTATCTTTTTTTTTTTTTTTCTCTCTCTATTTAAATTGATCACGGTTTTCTTTTTATTCAGGTCTAAATAGAAAGTGCTCGTTAAGGTAGCAATGTTAACGAGACATTATAGCGTAATTCACTGTGTTAAAACTATAGAAATATCATGAACAGGTGCCAACGCACTCGATTCCTCTCCGCATTATGAAATAACAAGTAGTGTATGAATTTTTTCTACGTACTGTGTGTAGTAACATAATTTTTATTCGCTTGTTTGTTTACTGTTATTGTTTATTGACGAGGAAGATTTCATTAAGCGATAGGTTGAAATAATAGAAGAGCTATGTGTTTAATTGGTCTCGTAGTTGCAATGTGGCCACGTGTGCGTTGTCAATCGATGTTTTCTCTCCCTTTCTTTGTCTTGGGAAAGTCTGAAGGTTACGGGGGTCCTTCGGCTTTTTTCGTTTTTACCAAATTCGAGTCGGGATTTACTATCTCCTGTACATCTGACAGAGACGTCCAAGCGTAGTCCAACATGCCTAGATAGTCACCGACATTCACGTATGGGTCTTTATACAAATTCACTTCTCACTTTTCAATCTAATCACTTTTTAACTTTTTTTTTTAATCGTATGCGTGTGAAAAATAGCACACACAGAAAGAGGGTCACTCTCTGCATTTAATGTACACTGAGTCAGCATTACCTCATGAGGAACGACTTGTTCTTCGCAACCTTTGCGGTTCAGTCACGCCATCATCGTACGACTAGGAACATCTAAAATGTTAATATGTACAGTGCGTCCGCTTTTTCTGCGAACTACAGTATAGAGTGGGGGTCCTTCTTTTACAGGTAACCGCATATGTATGCAGTTTGTCGGATCGAGGGAAGACCACATGCATTATGGCGAAAGAACACGATCGATATATTGGTGCCATGTCACGTAGCAAGACCATTTGGAATGGTGACGAGGGCTTACGTAGATACTGATTTAGGCGATAATATCACACCTTAGCTCTGACCAGCAGGCTTTCGTCCTAAGTGCTTTATGACATTGTGAATTTCGAAGAGATGATATGGCCCTTTAATCTCATTCTTCAATTATGGAATATGCTAATAAAAACGATTTTGGTTTTGTTGAGAATAGTCCGTTTCTGGCATCATTATTCTAGAGACAAACGCATCGTATCAAAATTCCTTAACCGTTCATTCCGTTACGTTTTTTTTTTCCTTAATTCATATTCTACCTGCATGTTCTTTTTTACCCCAATCCTCAGAACTAATCTGGTATTGGCGTACTAGCTTGCATTAAATTTCAGATTTTATTGTCAGCTTACTTAGAGTAACTCGGGACGGGACTCTGAGCCGATATAGCTCGTCGTTCGTTTGTGGCTACGTGGCTTCGAGTGGACCTCGTAATTCGTTTTAAAGCGTGTTTTACTAAAAGAGTCGGCAGTGCGTTTTCGTTAAAATAAAAGTGATAAAACCCAAGTCACTCAGCCATAATGGAGCTCTGTTGATTATATGCCATTGTGGGGCTGGAAATCAGAAGATAAGGACGCACTTACATAAGAGTATCTCAATATATTACTTTTTTGAATGTTTTATTTACATTTTATAGACGTTTTGTTTATTCTTGAATAAACAAGTAAGTTGTTTATAACATAAAACGCATATATAACGAGTAAAAGTTCTGTTCGACATTATGTTCTACGTAATTTTTCTCTAAAATTAATCCCTCAGCTGGTCGGAAAAAAGAAAATTCAGCTTATTTTTAAAAACATTCTAGGCCATCAAGGATTAGCGCACGATTCTTTGCGCCCACACCACTACCTCATTCAAACTAAACCAAATATGATCGATACTTTAATTTCGTCAATTGTTAGTTATTTAATTTGCTTCTAGATCCGAAGATCATCGGGTCGTCGAGTTCCAGTCGATGGAAACCGAACAGAAAGTTGAATGCAATTTTGAATAGCTTCGATGGGCGCTCACTGGTTAAATAAACATTCTCGGAAAGCTTGCTTCAGTTTTATAAAAAATAAATACGCTATTTATTTACATTTTGCTGTGTGAATTTGGTTTACATTTTTAAATAAAACTTTACGCTTTTTCATAGTGGAAAACACAAATCCTGAACAAGTCATTTCAGGAAGGTCTTATTATATTACTATAATAAATAACACAATATTTGTACGTGAACCTGTATTTTTTCATGTTTACATAATAGAATAAGCATGGGATGTACAGCGCCGTTTCAATTGTTTATCATGCTCTTAATCTCTGTATACATGTGGAGTTCGACATATCATCTCAGAGATGCAGGCAGAACAAGTCGACGTTCAGTTACGTTTTACATTCACGATTCGTGCAAATTTTTAACACGAGAACATTTATGAAATACGTGTAGCAATATGTACTATGCGACATCTAACCATAACATAAATAAGCAGCATGGGTGACTGTCCCCTGAAAGTTGACCATAAACCAGCTCCGACCTGTCTCCCACCCATATCTTTCCGCATCCCCGAAGTCGAAAGACAGCAGGAACTGACTACGCTAGAATGTGCCTATAGTCATTAACCGGGCCTAATAGAAAAACCCTGATCCGTTATAGCCTGTTGTATACATCCCCATACACTTGCACAGTCATACACACGAAAGAAGCCAATTTTTTTTCCATGCACACGCTTTCGTATAGACTGGTAAATACTTAAGCAATCCACTACCGTATCTGACAGCAGACATCTGCCCATCTTTACAAGCAACCCTGACTTTCGCCTAATTCAGTTTATTTGCACCTCAACCACTGCAGTCCTCTAAAGCGACTCGTGACCACCGAACGGAGTCGAAATCCTCGGTCGCCGTTCCATTATAATGGTCATCGTAATATAGTAATCACCGCATCGTCACATGTTTCTGTGGTATACGACTTTGTAATAACAACATGAATATTCTTCAAAGAAAATCGATTTTATGTGTTTTGTCTACCTTTTCTTTGTTTTTGTAGAGTAGCTTTGCCGCTAGTCTATCCTATATCCATTTCAACCTTCCCTCAGTTCACCAGCTATCAGACGCAAACAAAGGTTTTGTCATATTGTAAAACATTATTTTTATACGTGTTTTTATTATACAACATTTACCTGCACACGATTACGTAAATATTTATCTAAATATAGTAGCTTTTCATTATAATTTATTATATTTTTGTGACTCACGATGCTCCTGTTGTGCCAAGTGCGCCCGCTTGTCTTCAGGCTAACTACTACTAAAACCAACTTTGCTGTTTGCAGGCCTTAACTCCTTTAGTCCTTAAAGAGGGCCTATTATCCTTATGATTTGTGCAGAGGAAAGTTTCATGTATGCTGGTTACGACGAAATTGCTCGTCATGTATATTTGTGCCTATGTGTGTACGTGCAGTTTGCTCACTCACCATTTATACCCCAATTTCTCTTATTCTGTCTACTTTACGAACATGTATGAACAAACTAAGCAATCAACTAACGTCGTATGCACGAGGTACGTGGTTTTGTCCATGGTTTAAATCAGACAGCTAAAAATAGGTCTCATACTCCTTAGGTAGCTGGTCACCTGTATCGGTAGCTGCAGAAGCGAGAGGTTCTGACGAAAAATCCGGACCATCGCCTGCTTTGTAGCTGTCTTCGGTACGAGCTGCCAGAACCTGCTTTGCAGGTGCAGGCATCGACACTCGATGGTGATCTGAGACGCTTTCGGACGCTTCGCTTGACAGCTCCAGCTCGGAGGTAACTTCCTTCAGTGGGGGGAGCTGACCGTTAGCGATGGGACCCCCGAAGCCCCCGAGGGCAATGGAAGCCGCGTGCTAGACGAGCGAGTTGAGTTGTCGCATACTCCCCTTACGATTTGTTGCGGGTAGCTGAGAATCACCTGCGCCAGTTGTTCCCACTGCAGTCGCTGGGACAGAACAACCGCCGCCGTTCACCCGAATGTTATGACCACTACGACCAGATTGCCTGTATGTCACAAATTGATTTTGATACAATAATTATATAATCAAAAGAGCATAGGGTTAACATAGAAATCAAGCAGCACTGAAATGGTAGAAGCGTACAGAATGTACAGTAAACGGCGGGGAGTTTCAAAACACGCTTTAACTGATTTAATAACATAGCGCTTGCATATGCAAGCTATTTTCAGTACAGTAAGAAGAAAACAAAAAGATGTCTTCATTTGACAACAATTAAATTGTTGCTTTTTTTTTTTTATATTCAGGTTTATAATGTGACTTGCAGCTATATAAAGCACTTGCAGCTAAACTTCGCTTGCGTCTGTCTACTAAGAGAGTTGATCCAGGTCTGCCGGTTGGTTAGGGTATAACGTGCAACTTTAGAACAATGGTTGTCTCTGCTTTATCAGCGATGTTAAAAACAGTTCGTCCCAACACCCGCCGCTCAGACCAGTAGCTGACTGATATTCACTATGCCCTTCAGTTCACAACACTTGCCGACTATGACGCTAACGGCCACATCGAGCCTCGAATGGGGTGGTAGTGGTTCTGTGGATACTTTCGTTGGCCTCGTCATCAGGTTACCCTACGGATCTTTAACTTAACATAGTAATCGCACTCGAGAGAAGCTTGTCAGAGCTAACTTTGCAGACAGTCAGCGGCTACCCTTCCATTGGTCTTGTTCACTCTGTAATTCTAACTTTGAAGAGGGCTGTTGCTGTTACCGCGGTGGCGGAAATCGAACAGATTGCCTCGAATTGACTGAAAGCTTGATAGCTCGTGCTCCATCCCAGCCAGGATTGAAAGTCAACTAAAGAAAAAGAGGCAGGCCAGAAGGACGTGCAATGGGAATACTCCGTTCACTCTATAATTTCATCTAGAAAATACTACGAGCTCGAGTACTGGTATCCTTTTAGGGAATATCCTAGAGCTTCATTTTGCTGTTTGTCCCTGCTCGTATCTCTATGTCAAGAAAAAAGACGTAAAACAAGAAGCCGAACAATGGATTCACAAAAGCATGGCGTTCGATTGCTTCTCGTTTAATCTTTATATGTCTGTGAAGTACTCTCTGGCTACCAGCAGACGCATCGATCCGCTTATCTACCTAGATAGTTCATCATGTCGTTATCTAGATCAATTTACAGGAACTTCCGATATGTTTCAGTTGTCTTTCTTAACATATCTTCATCCACCCTGACTTGATTTCAGGAAGGAAACCCGATGCACAGGGACCAGGGTTTGCTTTTTTCTATTGCAATTATCTTTGCTGAGCATAATACTAAGGTCGATGGCATAACATAATTTGACTGAAAGAATAACAGTCAAAGATAAGTTGTATTTATCGTTGTATAATGTTTAACCATGTGACCATTTATCATCTCAAGGTATGACAAGACCAGATACCTTGAGTTTGCTTTTTGTCCGCAAAATTTTCTGTATTTTGTAAATAATTAATTCCGTTTACTTTTTTAGATCACCCTATTACAGAAAAGTAAGCATTCTGTTCCCGTAAAACTTGGTTTATTATTTAATCTTAATCTGTTCTCGTAAGCGAGCTTTGCTCCGATCGTTTACATGTAATAGCATATCACTTACGAACATACAGAATATCACACAGCGGATTAAATTATCGACTAGACTGGTTATTACAAGGGGCAGAAGCATATATTGCCCTAGTAATAATACTTGTACCGATGACCAATAAAATTGTCAATGTCGACATTGCGCAAAATCGTTTATACCTCGACGAATCGTTCGATCTGCGCTAGAGTGTTTGGATGTCGCATCTGCGAAAATCACCGACTTCTGCTATAAATAAACTCATCGAACGACTTTTACCGAATTTTTATGAGACCTCATGGAGTGTTGTTAACTGGTGTTCAGACCCTTACGATGTACTACGTATGACTACAAACATACATTAACAGATTAATATCAAACGGGCTCTATAAAACAGGAATATATCACTTTAGCTTCAAAATTTTACCGGTTCAAATTTTGTTTTTTTTCTATTTCGATTGAAATTTAAAATGATCGTGCCCTAACAAGTGAACCTGACTAGTCGGATCACCTCAGTAAGCCAATGAATTGCTAGGGTTTTAGCTTTGTCGTCCTAGCTCTTTTAGGCACTGATTATTTCTGCCTCACAGTCTGAACCAACATTTCAACGTAACAGGAAGGTGGTTCATAATGTCGTACGAAGCTAAAAGCAAATCTGGTTTGCTCATTGTACACCAGTACTCTATAAAACAATATCTAGAGTCGTGGTTAAGTTCTTAACATCAAAAAGTTGTTGGATTAGGTAAGTTTCGTCAACGAAGTGTACTGCAGTACATGCGTGATGAAGCGAGAAAACATTTAAGATCTGAAACTGATCAACCCCTGTAAATGTTTGTCGTCACGTTGAGTAGTCCACTAGTGCTACACTCCCTATTTGGGCCTAGTTAAAGATCAAACGTCTTCGGACACTTCGCACATAAATGACATTCATTTCCACCTATGAATAGGTCGAAATGAAGCGTCTGAAACAGAATAAATTAGTTGTTCATTCCCATGAGTCCCACGTTCTATGTTTCTTGAAAAACTCTCCCTAGCTGCACCAAATTAGTCCTATACTATTGTTTAGATATTTTTTGTGTTTATTTAACTTGAAATATCATAGGCTATAATAATAGTAATAAAAATATGACACATATATTCCGACCATAAGTATCTTTTTAGACATTTATAGGAGGCATAAACATTATGGATTACGTAAGTTATTATAATTGCTTCACGCACTGGAACACCAGTGCGTGAAGCAATATGCTAACCTCTTTAAAAGGTGATAATGGGGACCCGACATAGGACTCATACCTTACTATGCTGTAACAACATTTAGTGGTGCCTGTTAGCCGGTTTTATTCGCTATGTGTAAATACAGGTACGAAAACGTTTTGTTTTTGCTGTCGATTCATTAACTAGATCCGCCTGAAAAACTATGAGCCGTTCGAGCAGACGATTCCACAACACAAGGAGTTGGCATTTTTCTTAGTCTTCTTTTGAAAATGCTCAAAGTATATGCAAATGGGATATTTTTGAGATGCCACACTTCTTACACACTTCACTAGGCAAGGGTTTCTGAGATTTTTTTGTCGCTTAGCCAACAAGTAACCTTCTCGAAGTATGGAGTCGTTGGGCGTCAGGACACCTTTAAACAATTCTTATGGATGAGCAGCGCTACAAGCGCAAGTATTTACGTTTTTATCACAGCAGATATAAAAGCGAAGGATACACAACAAAGGCTGAACGAATCGCCATAACTATGCGACTCAGCAATGTAATAAGATATAATTATTTATATATTATTACCTTTTTATAGCGTTCTAGTTAGAATACTGACAAATGAAATATATTGGTATTTTTTTTTATTCACTGAACGTGTGTGCGTTTGATTTGCTCAACTTACTTAGCGTGTTAGTAGCTAAATGGTTATACGTATCCCTCTTAAAGTTGCCAGTGCAAAATAGAGGAATGAACTGGCGTATAAGTTTACAGACGATGAAAATTTCATCCGCAATAATTAGAAGAGAATAACGGGAACTGTTAGTAGGTTGTGAGCAAGCTGAATGAAGTTCACTTTTACACCTCACGTATCCTCATCTGTGCAAACGGTCGAATGAATTAAATGGTTGAATTTATTGAATTACCGTCCAGTGAACTAAAGTTATATGTCACGGTTGTTTCGGATGGCTTGTTCAATCGTTCTTTTTCTAAAGGAGAATTTAATAGTAATAATAATGTCAATTAATTTCTTGGAAAACATTTAATTTATCGTCGATCAGCCCTAATCGAGGCAACGATCACTACGGTATCTTCACCTGTGATCACAACGGTTAAGCGACTTTCTCTTGCTTGTACCATGAAGACAAAGCAACCCTCTTGCTTGCAGGGTTGCTTTGTCTTCATGGTACATACGAGGTACATAATGGCTGCTGAGTCTCCCTCAATGTAGACATTTCGCATGCTAAACCCCGATGACCAATAGGCCAACCGACAAAGGGCTAGCGTTAAATCAGCCAATGGAACAATGCTAATCAGCGTATACTATCCCTGGCAGCATTATCCCTAAAGCTAGATTTTACCGACTTAAATTTAAGCACGAAGCCTTTGCAAGACTATGGACATTACAGAGATAGCACCCTCTGTGCTGAATACAAAAAAGCTTGGCTACATATTTTTGATTTAGAGTGACAATAAAACAGTCAGTGCTAATTATATAACTGTTTTCATTCGTATATATTCATGTAACAGCAATGTATATTGGCGCGCACATACTCGCGCGAGTCTCATAACCAGACAATACCGAAACACATCACATAGGTGATGGGGTGGACAATCGTGTTTTCAACACATTTTTTTGATCGTATGAAGTGCATCGTCTGGCAGATTCGCCATCGTATATACGGGAGATCTCATAATGAAGATTGTTGGCACTCCAGCAACAGCTGTTGTTTTCCACTGTGCCTAATTCAATTCATCATTTGCGGGTAATACGTTTTTTTGTATAGTACTGAGGTCACCAGGGCCAACAACACGCAGAAATAAATCGAATGGTTCACTGGCTTTCAGGGATGGTATCGCTTATATGGGGTACCACAGAACTCCCGTTGAAGGACTGCTTGGAACTCGAATAACTTTTTTACACAGAGGAAATGGGGATGAGGCGGTGAGTAGCACGCTAGTCCCTTTACATGTCACTCAAAATATTTCAAAGCCTGTGCAGTACTGGGCGCAGAGCACGACAGGCTTACAAAGCCGGCCGCACTATTACGCAGGCCTTTTGCATTTGAGAAACAAGGGATTTTGGTCCTTTTAGGACAAACCTATTGGAAGCAGTTGTCAGCGGGTTGTGGCTGCCATAGAAAAAGAAATTCCTGCGACAATGATTTTTGCGGCAAAGAGCAAAACCAATTGCTGCCTTTGGTACTTTGATCAACTAGGTCGACGACAAGATAGAAGATGCAC